ATTGTTTCGGAAAATGGATATGTGAAATCTTTGTTGGGTATGTATTTCAGCCATGTGCTCCCCGCCCTGTGCCCATGGGGGTACCTGTATGCGATGGAACAAGTGTCTCTGTCCTCCTGGCTGGACCGGAGTGGGCTGCCACACAGGTACTTCACTTCTGACATGAACTTTAATGAAGACTGCCCCACTTCTGTCCAAGCAGGCACTGTAGAGACAGTTTTTATAAACACAGGGGGATACTGTAGGTCTTATGCTATTCATTTTTTCCAGTTTAGCTTACTATCTGCATAATTTGCTACTCTTCTATGTTTTTACAACAAATCTTGTTTAAAACACCACATTTCCTTTTATATTTTACCATTTCTATTTAGTCTGTCTTGACCTTCATGTCATGTCTCTTTCCCTCTCAGCCGTGTGTGACTTGCCCTGTGCTAACGGTGGTCGCTGTGTGGGGCCTGATACCTGCCAGTGTCCCTCTGACTACACCGGCCCCCAGTGCCTTTTGCGTGAGTAACAAAACCACATCAAACACAAGGCATGCAGGTACTTCTCGAGTGGGGGGGCTCTGCCTCCACGCTTGTTAGCACTGCTTAGTAAAATCTAAAAATGGAAAAACTAAAAAGGAACTGCTTCATCTAAACGTCGTGATGTTTTACTCCATGTGTCATTTTCTGACACAGACTCACCTCTGTCTGTGTGTGTGTGCGTGCTTTTCAGCCCTGTGCACTCCTGCGTGTCAAAACGGAGGAAGATGTGCGGACGTCAACAAATGCACATGTATTGGAGGATGGCAAGGAGCTCGTTGCCAGATAGGTGAAACTTCACTCACTGTATCTGTATATATCCATTGTTATATAACTGAAATATTACAGTCAGCATTTTACCCCTGTTTAAGTCATGTTTCAATATAGTAATATATATAAGCAATATAATTTTCAATAACAATCATCAAAGTAAAAGTCATGAGAATTGCTACCTACTTCTGCTAATTCATGCAAAACAGAAACTCAATTACTTTGGTGAGGTGCAGAATTTTTTCTTGACTTCAAGCACTTTACACTCCCAGCACGGAGGTTTTACCTCCTCAGAGAAGATGCTAACTTCGGTTGGGATTTTTTGAAACAAAATGGGATTTGGGCTGTTACCCAGTGTGGATGAAGGAGGGAAAAATTATGAAAGTTTCTAGCTAGTTCTTCTTCAACTTGCAGCTTTCTGTAAATTGTTCTGGTGTGTGTGTGTGTGTGTGATGTGTTGTGTGTTGTGTGTGTGTGTGTGTGTGTGGTGTGGATAATTAACAGGGGTGAGAAAAAAATAATTTCTGCTACACAATTTACTTGTGAACTTGTGACATACATTCTAAAAAGCATTTTCTGACATTTTATAGACCATGTAATTAATCAAACATAGTATTTAGTAATCAGTAATGAAAAATCTGTTGGTTGTGTTGTGGTCTCAGTAAAAAAAGTTTTTCTTAGATTAGAGGATTAAATCCAACATCTCAAATTTTAAAATCAAATTAGATCCAATAATGTTATCCTTTAGGTGAAAAAATGTTTAATCCAAATTAAATCCAATAATATTATCCTTAAGGAGAAATATGTAAGTCAAAATTAGATCCAAGGAAAAATTCTAAGTCCAAAGCTAGGTTCAAGAAAAATTCTAAGTTCCAAACTAGGTTCAAGAAAAATTCCAAGTATTATCCTTTAGGAGAAAAATAATATCCAGGATTCATCCAGGTTGGCAGTAGAAGTAGAGCTTTATTCCAGTTGCAAAAAACAAAGCCCGAGTTATCCATGGAACAACTGCATTTTTAGCTCAGAACATCACCTTTTATACCTTTCAGGGTTATACAACAATGTTCATAGGTCTGCCTCTTTTCCAACTTTTCTGACCCTTGACGTAATGGTGTTAATTTTCCATGACATCTTTCTCATTATGCCTGCAGACCTTCTAGCTGGGAATGGGTCTCGCCTGTGGTTTGCTCAGTCCCACACACCTGCTGGCCCTGTGTGCCCTTATCAGCAATCCTCGCAGGCCTCTCGGCCTTCGGCAGTGCGCCAAGACCTCGCTTCTCTCTGCCCTTCTTTCTCCATTTTTACACCATTAAAATATATTTTGCTGTACTTTTATTTTATAACCCTATATTACCCCTTTCTTACACATTATGTCATGGGTGTCTCCACTGTTCTCTTTTAAAACTTTACAATATGACCAGAAGTTTGTGTTATAATATTCACATACTTTTTTTAGTACAAACAGTTTCTTGCTACAACTACACATTCAATATTTTCTACACATCAAATCAAAACCATGGTGCTTACATACTTCATTAATAGGTGTGCTATGCCAAGTATCATCTTTACTCAAAACTTAGTGCTCTCTGACTCTAATTATATTATTCTATGTGATTAATGACATAGTGCTTATAACATAATCATCAACAGTGTGCTCTCATTAAAATCATCTCTACTTAACACTTGTGGTGCTCTTTGATTCTAATTTCTAATGCCTATGTGATTAAATGACTTAGTGCTCGTAACATACTACCATACATTTTGTGTGATTAACTTGATTTCTAGCATATAACTTTATAATATTCAACATCATACATAAAGCCATAAGTAGTTGGGAACTGCTGCTGAGGGATTTGTAGTTCTCCAGGCAGCCAGTCAGTGGAGCTGTGCACAGATTCCAGAGCAGCACCACAATCTCTAAGTTAATGTTTGCGGATCTTTCTGGAGGTTGCTGAATTTACAGCTTATATAGTAAATGATGAACACTAAATCTTATTGTGTAGTCAATATTAATTAATCCAAGATTCATCCAACATGTTATTAAATTATGTTCCATTTCAGTTTAAATGAGATCCAACCAACTTTCCCTACCAAAATAACAGTAGTAGATGTT